TATTTGCAATTTATTTTCTGAGGAAATTGGGTCATTGGTCTTGCAGAGTTCCTTACAGTCTAGTTTTTGCTTATTGACCTCCATGGTGTTTAACATGTTGCCCTGCCCTTTGTTGTTTCTGTAAATTGGCCATCTAGAAGCTTGATCAGATTCAGGTTTCATTTTTTTGGCAAATCTGTTTCTTAGGTGTTCTTGCATGAGGAAACAGAATGTTCGATGTTCTGTCTTTTTTGTGATGCTAGAAATCTAGAGTCCAAAATCTCTATGGTGTAATGTTTGACAAAACTGAACCACAGATTATTTCATGGCTTAAAGTATGTCCTCTGCTGATAATTGAAACCAAACTCCGACGGAAGCCTGTAGACATTCAATCCTGGTAAGATAAAGCAGTGGCTGGGACATCAGTTTACAGCCATATGTGAAACTACTCATTATAGTGTGATGTTTAAATGTCGGCAATTTACCACTCTCTTGGGGTGGGGGTGGGAGTGGATCTGGAGCTCAGCTGTTCTCTGGTCGTGCAAGACCAGCCCTTTTGTTGTTAATCACAAAGAGAGGTCATGTTAAGTGCATTTGTTCTTGTCAAGAGCCATAAAGAGATACAGCCCCTGCCCTTTAGTTTGCTTCCTAAAAAGAAAGAAGAATAAAGGCAAGCAAAACACAATTGTTCTTAACTTCTAAGGTACCACAAGGATAAAGTATTCTACTAAATTATCTATCATGCCAGGTGTGGTGGCTCACAGCTGTAATCCTAGCACTTTGGGAGGCCAAGGCGGTGGATTACCTGAGGTCAGGAGTTTGAGACCAGCCTGGCCGACATGGTGAAACCCCGTCTCTACTAAAAATACAAAAATTAGCTGGGCGTGGTGGTGCACGCCTGTAGTCCCAGCTACTCGGGAGGCTGAGTTAGAACTGCTGGAACTCAGGAGGCAGAGATTGCACTGAGCCTAGATTGTGCCACTGCACTCCAGCCTGGGCAACAGAGTGAGACTCTGTGTCAAAAAACAAAAAAGAAAAAAAATCTACCTACCTACCTATCATCTATCTGATAGTGGCCTAAGTAATGAGAAGTTTGGGTATTTCCTAGATATTTGGTGATGTGTGAGCAAAGATAGGCAAATATATTCCTTTAATACCCACATTGCTCTTATTTACTAACCAGGAATATCTTCCTAGGTGATACCCGCTTTGCCCTGCTAATAACTTGGCATTCCTGGTAGTGGAAGGTTTTGGGTGCCACAGGAATATGGGGAACATCAGAATCTTGCTCTGAGAGAGTAGGCACTTTGAGAAATACATTTGTGGCATTGACTTATGAAATACCACAACATGCAACAACAAAGAGTGTTGACCAGATCTATATTTTAGAACAACTGCACACACAGACACATCTGGGCCAGTAGGACTTCTGATTGGTTTGCAAACTACGTGAGCCTCCCACACACAGACAGTTGCCCTTACCCACCTCTGCCTAGGTAGACCTAGTCCTCCTATTTGTCTTTCAATGAATGTAGAACCTGTAACCTGAGTAACCTGAATTTTCTAGTCTCCTGAGGCTACAGGTTTATTTCATGCCTAAATAAATGCATGAAACCCCCATTTCTAGGGACTGTAAGAAGACCAAGTGCCTCTCTTGGGACTTCTGAGGGTCAGAGTTCTGAAGTTTCCAGGTATTGTCCCTCTCACTCCAAACTGCTGCTAACCCTTTTTCGGGTCAACCCAGAGTACTTCCATGAAGCCCCAGCTCTGCCATGCCCCAAACACAGACACAGGCAGAAGTTTAGTCTACCCTCAAGGTTAACACATTGGCCAGGGGTGGCTTTTTGGCTGTCAAAAGGGTTGCTCCAGCTGCCTCCCAAGACCAGATTATCACCACCTTTATAGGCCTGTATAAGCTGCTACTGTTTGTGATGACTGTTGAATCAATCCTCAGAGAGTTTATAAAGTCAAGTGTTGATTTTAAAGACAGAAGCCGGCAATGCTGTTATGCAGTGCACCTGCTCTGTTGCACCTTTATTTAACCTTGTCTGTGGATGCCCAGAGAGTATGTGATGGACATGGTGGCAGAATCTGATTGGTCTGCCTTCTGCCCACCCATCACTGGTGCCCTCTGTAGCTGGATCCTCTGAATGAGTTGTTCTTATTTAGAAGGAGCAGAGATTGCTGTTGAGTAGGTCTGTGGGGCACTTAGCTTCCATGTGTTTGATCTTCCATCTGTGTCTGTCTGTGCCCTGTCTCCTCTTTTTATAAGGACCAGTTGTATTGGATTAGGGCCTCCCCATATGATCTCATTTTATCTTAATACCTCTTTAAAGGCTCAATCTCCAAATATGGCCACATTCTGAGGTACTAGGGGTTAGAACTTCAACATATGAATTTGGGGAGGGGACATAGTTCAGCCCATAACGGGGGGGTGTGAGGTGGGGGTGGGGGTGCTTAATTGATGGTTTTCTTATAACGCGTTGAGGAGGTGCATGTCCTTGGAAGGTCCCAGAAGCTAGGGTGGCACATTGTCCCAGTTTGCCCTGCTCTGAGAGGTTTAGCAAGGCATGGGACTTTCAGTGCTAAAACAGAAACAGCTTGAGGCAAACCAGGATGGTTGATCACCCTATCGGGCTCCCATGGAGGGCACAGGGCAGGTGCTTCGTTTCCCAGCCTACCTCAGCCAGAACTGCATCACTTCCCTCTGCTTATGTGTCCGCATGCTAATGAGATAAATTTAACAAAGGAGTTTTGATTCAGTGGCCTCCAAGGTCCTCTCCTGCTGCCACATTCTGTGTTTTAATTTCATTTGCACACATTGGAATTCAGTAGCTGGATTCAGACAAATTCAGCCATGTGTCTGAAACTAATAACTGACTGGAGCAAAACTCATTGAGTTTGTGGTTAAAAGTGACATATAACAAAAAGGGTGTTTGTTAAGCCTTGTCTATTCTGAGGCAGAGCTTGGTGCTGTGCTGTTGTGATGACAGATGGTACTTGCTGAGCTCTCACTATGCTTACTAGATTCTGTTATCCTAATAGCTGCTCTGTGAAGTAGCTAGCAGCCGCCGCC